GCAGCGCACGAGCACGTGTACCGTAAACCACGCACGCAACAAACTCATGCACGCACGTGTAGCGTGCAACGCTCGCAGGACGATTGCACGCACGTGTCGTGTCACGACGCATGGGGACGCACGCACGCAGCACGCGTCTACGCTGGGCACATGCACAAACGGCACACGACGCACGCACGCACGTGTAGCGTGCACACACGGACGCACGCACGTGTACGTGGCACACGCTACGCACACACGTCATGCCGCACGTGTAGGTGCACACGCACGCACGCCCACGCATGCACGCACGTGTACATGCACACGTGCAGACGCACGCACACACGCACGTCTTACATGCAGCACGCCAGCACCGCATGGGCACGGCCATGTGTAACGTGCATATGCAGGTACGCACGCACGGGGGTGCACGGTGGATACATCCAAACGCAGCGCACGCACGCCGCGGCGCATGCACACAGGTTGGTACCTGCACACGGCATGCACGTACGCACGCGACGCATGCCACGGCAGGTGTAGCGTGCACACGGCGCAGCGCACGTTATGTGCAACGCAACGCTCGTACCACGAGTTTTTTTTTTGGGGGGGGGGGTCACGTGCACGACGGGCGACGGTCACTCACGTGTACCTGCACCACAACAGAAGAATGGCACGTCACGGCACGTGTACGTGAAACGCAGGCACTTCACACATCGCACGCAGGCAGCCGAGTGTACGTTCACGACGCACGAACGCACGCACGCGCGCACGTGTACGTGCAGCGACGCACGCACGCATGTAGCGACGTGTAAGTGCACACGCACGCACGCAACGAACGGGCATGTGTACGCACCGCACGCAGCAATGCACTTTAATACGTGCACACGCACCACGCACGCACCCACGCACGCACGCAGCGCACACACTAATGTAGTGTCGCACGCGCATGCACGCACGTTTAACTACACACGCAGCGCACGCATGCATGTTACGCAGGTGTACGTGCAGCACGGCACGGCACGCACGCGAGCCGCACGCACGTCTACTTGCACTGCATGCACGCACCACGTGTTACTGTACACACACGCACCGTAGCGCCGCGCAACGACTCAATTATGCAACACGTGTACTGCACACGCCGCAACGAGCAGCACCACACACGCTGCAGCGGCATGCAGATGCCCGCACGTGTACGTGCAGCACGCACGCACACGGTGTCACGCATGCACGCACGTGTACGTGGCAGACGACGCATGCAGCATGCACTCACGCAATGCACGCACGTGTTAGTGCACACGAACACATGCACCCGACGCACGTCACGTGTAGTTCACAGCGCGACGCACGCACGGCACGACGATGCCGCACGTGTACGTGCACACGCACGGCACGCACGTGTATGTGCACACGCACGCACGCACGGTACGTGCACTACATACAGCGCTTTCTATCACAGAACATGTGGTCATTCTCTGTAAATGTCAAGCAGGCACGCTTCGCTTCTGCCAGCCACAACAATACAAATACCCGTGCTGATCTATGACTCCACGTGAAACAATCGCTATAGGGGCACTACACAGTAAACCTCGCAAATTGTTCAGCCCTTGCAGCCCGTAGGCCATGGGTGGGTTCGGAGGTTCGAAAGCGAACCCCCGCCCCCCCAAGAAAAAAAAATTCTTTGAAAATTTGAAGAATTTCACTCTCGATGGTCGCTCCATTTTAGTGTAATAATTGCAAATCGTCCAGTGTGCGGGAGGGTGAACAGTGAACACCCCCTCCCAACGAACCTACGCCGCTCCGGGTCGCATTGGCTCCCTGCGCCTGGTCGCTTCGCGCCCGAGCAAGGGCGTGTATAGGGGGGTCCAGGGAGTCCGGACCCCACGTTGCTCGGCGCAGCGAAAAGCATCTGACGGGGTTAATTTTAAAAATTTCTGGAGGAGGATGCCGGCCAGACCCCCTCGGCATGCTCGCAACGTTGGGTTACGGTTAGACCCACCCCTGGTACAGAATAGCCTGTACACGCCCGCTCGAGAAATTGGCCAACATTGAAAAACGAATCCCCCCCAATATCGAAGCTGGTCTTTAACGGGCCTACGCCTTGCACTATTTAGGTCGCCGTAGAAAAGGCTTTTTTCCGATTTTTTGCTTTTGTGAATTTCGACCTAGAGTGGCACTAATTTGTATTGTAAATTCTCTCATCTCTCTTCTTCTTCTCTTCTCTGCTCTCTCTCTCTCTGCTCTCTCTCTTCTCTCTTCTCTCTCTCTCTCTCTCTCTCTCGGGGGGTGTCCCGCCACAGACTGAACTTGGTCATTTCGGCACATGCGGGACAATTCAGTTGCGCCTAGTTGCTCTAGCAAATATAATTAGTTAGTTTTATGCATGGCCACGCACATGTCTTACCCAATTCAGTGGCATAGTAGGGATACGAGGTTATCGCCCTTCAAGCTTCACCTGCTCTGGTAACGATCTCTCTACATGTCCTGCCTTCTTGTAACGCGATGAGGACCTTTATAAAAAACTTTACAAAATGTAACGCGAGACAAAATTTCTAGCGCCTTCATGTAGGTGTCAACGAGCATTTTCAAGAAGTCTCCTTGTATATACATTCACACTAGCACGCTAGCTCTGGGTACGAAAATAACCAGGTAAAAAACTATTGCATACGTAAAAACAAGTATAAAGACGTAGGATTATACTTATATAGACAACAATATAGCAAAAATTGCCA